GATAAGACCCCTTTACATCCACATGGGAGGGTGTGCCCTTGAGATTTCTTGAGTCCCCCCAGACGTCTGGAATCCCCCATTCTGGCACTGCTATAGTGGCTCACATCTGATCTGAAAGAGAGGAGGATGCAATCTGGTTGTCTGTCTGCCTGCCTGTGTGATTTCAATAAGGCCCCCAGGGACATTCCAGTTAGTCTGTCTGTCAGTCCTGCTCAATTTGAGCAGCAAAAGAATTTGATCAATTCTTGTTGTTAAGCCCGGGGTCAAAGGAACAAGTGTTGGAATGTTTAGTATCTTATAGGCAGGACATGCAGAGCTCTAACAAATTGAGCAGTCATTGCAAAAGTTGGGGGCAAAACTGTGACTTTCCTGCAAAACTGTGGAACAGAACTCTCTGCCTTCAAAAGTTTCCTCTGACAACAAGTTACCATCACTGGGTCAGTACGGACTCCTGTCTCTCACCCCATCTGCCAGACACAAGCCTACAGCAAGGAAGGGCATCTCCTTTGCACCAAGCTACTCAGCCTCCCCCTCTTTTGACCCTACACTTTCAATCTTGATTGTTCCCGTAGAGAAAGATGTCTGCATCAGCTTGAGAAGTTTCAGAAATCCAGCTTTAAATCTGCTGAAATATTTACCTGGACAGCTCCTCTGAGGCTCCCTCTGAAGAGACAACGCAGCCAAAGTCCTGCCTGGTCACTCTGGATGTTGACCAGTTCACGCATGACTGAAGCCTGAGGACATCGTTCACACAATTGTGCCATACCTTTTCCCCTTGATTTTTGTGTCTTTTCGAGCTGCTTACCCCAATCATTGCTTCCCTGCCCCTTGCTAGCTGTGTATTTTTTGCCTTAAACTCTATGGACAGCTACCCCAAGAGAACAGAACAATCAAACACTTGACTAAGGTTGATGGTTTGATGAGTGTCCAAGACACTGGACACTCTCCTAGATCAGATTAACTCACTCACCCATTTGCCAGAGTAATGTTACAGAACAGACAGACCTAAATTATGTCTCTTCCTAAAACCTCTATAATAAGGGGGTTTTTCCTTCTATAATGAGGGAAAAACCTCTATAATAAGATAATCTCAGGGAGCTTGGCTAGGTTCCATCCTAAGATCACCAACAGCTTCTAGTTGGGCCTTGTCTCAGATAATACTTCTCATGAAATAATCTGATAAGTTCCAAAATATAGATACCCAGGGGTGAACAGTGCTGATTAAACTTGAAAAATGAAAGTAAGAAAGAAACGGTCAGAATTTGGTTACATATATATTAATAGATTTATTTAAAATGTATTTTCATTAAAAACAACATATAGTTACAGAAAATATTCATTAAAATATAAAATGAGAAGATCCATAATTCTGTGTGCCAACACATCTTATGTTAGTACCATCAGATTTGCTTTATTTTTGCATCTGATGCACGCACAAACACACGTTTACCAGGAAGATATGCACCAAACTCAGCCTTATGCATATTTTTAAAGTGAGTTTTACTTGATAATAGATACTAGATGCTTGGTCTGTCCATCTCAAAAAAATGCATTTGTAAATACGTAATCATAAGCACACCCTCCTCATGTTTGAGAGCTGCCTGGCGTTTTTACTATGTGTGCAACAATTAGCACCGGGTGCCTTTTATTCTCATCTCCCTGTGGTGCTGGATCTGGGGTCCATGCCTTGACAGGGTTCCTTTATCCCTCTTTCCTCCCCAAGCCCTGAGGGCAGAGTCAGACCCAGAGTGGACTCTCACCAGTTCCTGCTAAAGCAGTGAGGGACAGACCCCGTGAGGGAGTGATTCTGTCCATCAAAGGCCATCTTCCTGAGCAGTCCACGGGGCCTTTGGACGGACCCTGCGTTTCTCTATTTAGCTGTCCATCTGAAGGCAGAGAGGGTGTGTATGGGGACGAAAGAGATACTATTTATAAATTACTTGACTCCTTTGAAAGGACAGTCAGGCCCGGTCCAACGTGTGTACTATTATCACTGATTCCACCCAGCCCCACGGTCACGCAGGCTTCGCTGGCGTAGTTCCGGGAGCAGCTGCGCATCTAACAGCTCCTGGGGAAAGCAGGAGTCCTCTCCGTGTGAATGTCACACTTTCCTTAGAATCGGTGTGTTCCACACTAATTAAGAAGGCGATGCTTTTTAATCCTCTTAGCATCTCTGTGAGACAGCGCAGTGATATCACCACCCTAATTGTGCAGCGGGGGAGACTGAGGCAGAGCCGACCCCTGGCTCAGCATCTGTGGCAACGAAACAGCAGCACAGCGGCATGAACTAGAACCTTTTGGTTTCCAGCTGCAAGGAGATGATGCAGTAAAAGCCACTCCAAGTGCGAAACATTTCCTAAGTCTGTAGGAAAAATAAAGATTTTCCCACTGTAAAATGATATTAAGTTTAAAAATAAAATATTGACTATAAAACTATTCAGGCTGTAATTTTCATCAGTGGAATTGTGCGGGAGGCTGCCCTTCGCTGTGAGCACGTTGGAGAAGATGAAAGTACCTCCCCGATTTCAGTTTTTTTTAAAACTTGGAATTAAATCAAAACTTGCATGCTGCTGTAATTAATATGTAAGAGTGAGATCAAACAGCCCCAAATGCAAAAAATTGAAGCTTTCTTTGCTTATGGGGAGGGGGGTAGATAATTTCGCTTTATTTTTCTCAGTAATTAGAACAAATTGCCTATGAAAAACAGACCAATAGAGGAGGGCTGGTTTCCCTATTAATTATCCTGATAGTTACTGGACGGTGGTGGAGATGAACAGAGAAGCCCGGTGCCTTCCCTTGTGGAACTGGCCATCTGACACAAACAAGTGACAGGAAGGGCGACTCAGGGCAATCTCAGCTGTCCAGGTCACCCCCCACCACGATCAAGGAAACAGGTCTGCAGGTGACAGAGGGTGGGATTTCTCTGAGGTGGTCAGGGAAGGTCAGCAAACGGCTGTCTGAGGCCACTCCGTGACAGCAGGGCCCTGGGTCTTGCCAAGGAGAAGGAGAATTTGGACTCCGAGAGGGAGAGAGGATTCCAAGCCAGGAACAGGGACAGAGGCAACCTTCTTCCTCTTATCCGAGGGGCTTTGCTTCTTCTCTCACTTCCTTCAAGCTCTGGCCCTTAACCGTTTGCTAACCTGTGCTCTTTTCCATGCTGCCTTAACACATCTACCTTTTACAATCTAGTTTATATTTTATCAATCCGTAGTTGTGGTGCAGAGTGGCCCCATTCATAGTGGGGAGCTGGTGCACACACACCTCACCCTTGAGTTCTTTCTGTGCACACATGTTCCGTCTCTGGGTCCCCCCCCCCCCCATTTTGCAAAACATCAATCTTCTCGTTTCATATTGTCACCTTTTTATTTGCTTGTTAATTTATTTACACTTGGGGTTTATCTTCTGAAAGAAGCCATGCAACAGTTAACTTGCATGTTTGATTTATTTTACTTAACATTATGGTGCTAGGGTTATCCATTTTTTTCTACCAATGCATCAAATTAATCCTCCTCTATAGTGCAGGAGTACTCTGTTGTTGAACTATAGGCCACTGGACTAAGATCCAGCAGTTATGAGCTAAACTTCTCTGAAGAGAAATATGTCTCTTTTTTCCTTTGCTACAATCTCTGTTTTGTTTTTCAATGTGAGGACAGCCCTTCGGTGTCTCCGCAGCTCCTGGTCCTCCAGAGCAGGGTTAGAGCATATTCCTTGCACCCACGTATTACAGAGTGGACACATAACAGTCACTCAGAAGTATTCTAGGGCTATAGCTCTGGGTCCCAGGCTTCCACATTGCTACAGATTCTGGGGCGGCTGTGTGCAGGAGGCTGGGCTAGGGCACAGGTGCGCTGTCTCGCCCTGGGGATGGAGAGTCCCTGAGCGCCAGTGTTCTTCTTATCTTGTTTTATTTGCCTGACTTCTGTTTGGCACTAGGAGAGAATGTGGAGAGAATGGAACATGGGCAACACCTTACCAAAACAACGATTCCTTCCTGGATCGTCACTGCTTTCTGGAACAAGGTCTTGGCACTATTCAGGGCCATTTCCACCCTAGGCTGCAGATGAATCACGTTTTACCTACTCAGGACACATCCTCCCCTTTGGGAGCCACAGAGGCCTCTGAGAATACAGGAACGAAGCTGCCATCTCTGCCAAGTATCACCTGCTGAACTACTGAGCAAGCGATCTCTGGGAACACTGCTTCTCATCCTCACACCTCCCATTACCTTCCTAGTTTTGTTTAGAAAGTATACAAAGTTTCCTTTGTCTGCTCATCTTTCATTGAAACCTAAAGCAACATGCCATGGTTTGGTTGTAGGACTCTCTGTTCTATGCAGGGGCGTGGGGCATTAAGCCCACAAATCGCTGTCTCTCAGCTCCCTTCTTCTGATGGGAAAAGACTCAGAATCGCCACCCGCAGCACTTACTTAAATGGAGCCAGGGCAGATGGGTTATCTCAGAGGTGGCTTGTGGGAAAAGGCTCTGGCCTGTAGTTCAAGAGAGACAAGCTGCAATTAGGAGCTTGCCCCTGTGCCGCCTACGTCCTGCAGACTGCATTCCCAGGAAGCGATGATTAAGGCATGGCTTGGAGGCACCAGAGTCCCACACTCACAAATGCGCCGACTGGTTTTGTCCAAATCACATCCCAGCAATTCTTTGATCCCACCTGCAAGCCACACCTGGTGCTCTGCAGTTCAGCCTGCCTGGGTCGCACAGTCTTCTCCGTGGATCCAGACTCACTCACGTCCACCTGTTGCACCAGCCTGAGTCCTCTTGCTTTGATCTCTCTGCACTGTGGAAGCCATCAAGTGTGACAGAATTTTGGCTCAGCCTCATTGCTTTGGAATGCAAATCTCCAGGGTTCTGCCCTTGGAAATTTGATAATGAGGAGTAAACATTCCAGCAGGGAAGGCTGGCATATCTGGGGGTTTCTAAGACCCTGGCCCCTACCTGCTGTGTGTTTCCAGGGCACCAGCCAGTAGTCATGAGTAGCCTGTGACTCTAGATCTTCTGAAATGTGGTGAAGACCTGTCCCCAAGCCCTGGCTCACTACTGTCTACACCCGTGTTTGCACTTTGCTATTCCTGCTCTGGATTTCTGATTCAGCACACTCGACTCCCTCTCTACTAGCAGGTGGGAAATCTGTATAAAGTGAAAGCTTTGGGCATTCCACGGGGCTGGAAATCTTTTTACCAGAAGAAAGACAACACAGTTGATCCTCACATAAACTGAATCTCGGCATATGAGGCAAATGTTCTTACTTCTTTATAAGCAGGCCACCTAAAATGTTAGGAGTTAATTTGCCAAGACCCGCATCTGACTCTAATAAGCAAATCTGTTGTGTGTTGCCTGTGCATGTAAAACAAACTCCAAATGCAAGCCTGCATGCTTTCATGTTCTCCAATGACAGCAATCCGTATCTTATTTGTGTCTATCTTTGATGTCAATTATGTTATGTCGTTTGAAGTGATTACATTGCTTTTATTTAATACAATTTTTCAAGTTGTTTTAAGTCTCTGAATGAAAAGACAAAAGGAGAGAAAGAGCAAGAGAGAGAGAGAGAGAGAGAGAGAGAGAGAGAGAGAGAGAGCAGAACCCTTAAGTGCTGTGTCTCAGCTTTTATTTTGGAAGCAGTTTATACGGAAATTCTTAGTCTAAACAATTTACAGTTTTCTGGATTAAGATCGTGTAGAAGAAAAGATGAATATCTTGAAAAGAATCATAACACAAATGCTCCTGCTACCCAGAAGTAAATTAGATATTTGTGAATTCTGGCTGCTGGGGATGCCACAGGGTCCTGTGCAGTGGGCAGAGGGTGAGAGGCTTGGAAGAGCTCTTGGAGGGAGCGAGATTACATCTGCTTCCAAACCTGAATGCCCAAGAATGCAAATACGCCCAGGCTCAAAAACAAGGAACCAGCTCAACACTTTCAAGTTGTCTGAGGGAAAACAAACTCATTTAATGTCCATCTGCTGATAGGGAGGGTAGGAAGGGCCCGGGGTTGCTGACAGAGCAGTTCCCCATAATTTTGACTATTATTTCAGGTTTCTATCTTTTCCTCTCTGTTAGGAAGATATTAAAAATAAGTTTCTGGCAAAAAGTACAGAAAAACACACAGCCTCCAAAGCTGCAACTGGTATGGATTCCTGGCCAGCAGCCTTGATGTTTAGTGCTGGTCATCATTCTGCAAATTTGCTCGCTACAATATCAGGAAACTCTGGACGGTGGTAGAATGTTTCAGTAATATCTTACAAAATCTGGGCTATGTGCTGGGAGTCTCGGGGATTACTGCAGACATCCCAAAGCTATCCTAGGCATGCGTGGAAGCCGCTTTGAAATGGTTGTGCTATTGTTATTGTTATTGTTTGTATATATATTTCTGCTAGGATTTACAGGTTATAATGTGCCCAGTGCCATAGCTCAAAGAGTTACCTCTGCTTTCATCTCTCTTCTGCATGTGACATCTGTCCAGCCTGTGTTCATTTCTACATTAAGATAAGTCAACTGCTTCGAGTAAAAAGGGAATCCTAAATGACTGGGGACAAGACGGGCTAAAAAGAAACACAGCTAAATGTTTTCTCCCCCCCAAACATTTTGCAGGGATGCTGGGTGCGTGGTAACCGAGAAACACCCAGGGGATTCAGATGCTTTCTTCAGCAAGGACCAGGATCCAGGTGTGGAGGGAGCAGTTCCGACACAGTTGGGTAAGCAGGCAGAATGTTACGTGTTACTGTGCTGCTTGTCGTCCTCCCCCTCTCTATTGAAAACAATAGAAAATCATCCTTTATTTCCACCACTTCCTGCCTGAAGGCTGAAACTGCTTCCTAACTCACCGCTTGTGCACTTTTGCTGCAAACGAAGCTCCATTACGCCAGCTTCCCTCTTCTCCCCGCAGCCCTGGGGGAGGGGGACATCTCTGGCTTTGCAAACTCCACAGGGTCCTTCCAACCATTCCAGCATCAAGTCTTCCTTTCCTGAGCCCCTCTGCCTCACCCTGACCTCCCAGGGAGGTGAGGTTTTCCCTGCCTGCTAATGTGACAGTTTCTGGTCCTGAGCCACATGCAAAAGAAATTCTGTTCTTCCCCTTCCCTCCCTCTCCGGCTTCCTCCTCTTCTCTCTCCTTCCTCCTCTTCCATCTTCTTTCCCCCTTCCCTCCCTCTCCCCTTTCCTTCTTTCTACTCCCTTCCCCTCCCCCCTACTCTTCTCTCTCTCTCCCTCCTTGTTCCCTTCCTCCTCTTTTCACCAAAATACAAGGACAAACTTAGAAAGACTATTGGAGTTAGCATGGCCTGGAAAGTTTCTTTCAGAAGTGAATGAGTAACACAGAGAAGTCACCAACTCAAGTCCTAGCTAGCTCAGCCTGGGCTGAGGTTGGGTGTCTGTGATCCCACCCACGTGGGGTGACAAGGACATCTCAAAGGGACACAATTCACCCTGTGCCAGCCCTGCTGGGGTCTGACCCTGTGACCAGTTAGCTCTGATAACCAGAAGACCCAGTGGTGTGGAGGTACAGGGATAGGAACACGCTGGCTTCCCAAGGCCTGGTGTTTTGGGATCCAGATGTAAGCCAGAGGCTACTGGGACTGAGAAGTGCAGACCCCTTAGCAAGTGCGGCATTGGGTACTGAGTGTTGGATTCAATTCAGTGTCAGGGGCTGCGGTCAGCTCAGAGAGAAGCAGGTGGAGTATGTGGGAGCTTGGAGAGGGGATAACTTTACATCCCATCATTGCTCTGCTTTGGGAATCCTGGTGATGGCCTGAGCAGGTGACACAAACATGTACCCATCCCACCCTGGGCTTAAAGAGGCATGCTGTGATGGCAGCCTTGAAAACGCAGCTTCAGAGAGTGCCTGAAATTACGACGCCTGAGCTACAGCTTTTCATGAGCCCAACCTTTCTGATGCTTTTAATTATGAACCTAAAAGCAGCCCAATTATCATCATCTTGGGAACAAGCAAAATGCATTATGGCAGGCAGATAGCTTGGATCATCACCGTGTCATGCATAGCTGAAGAATAATGCTCCCTCTTGATAAAAGCTATTAGACCACGTGTGAGAAAGGCCCAAGAGGATGTGAGGGGAGGCAGCCCTAGTAAATGCGGCCAGGAAATGAAAATCCAAGTGGGCCAGTGCAGTGCAGGAGTGCAGGAGTTATCACCACTGTTGTTTAAGGAGCTCTGACACTGACTAATTCCCATGCATCTCAGTGTTACCATCAGCAGTGGGTCATGCTTTGTCTTCTAGCTCTTTCACCTACACCTTGTGTCTCAGTGCAAGCTACTTCCACGCCTGTCCCTCACTTTCCCCATCTAAAACTGTGTGCAACAATAAACTTATTTTGCAGGGTTAGCGTTAGATGATCTGTGCGTGGTGCTCAGAACCCATGTCTCGGTGGAGAAAGTTCATTGTAGGTCTACCTGCACCATGGTCTAATCCTCACTCTGTCATGCAAATGTTGTAAATCTGTGTCACCTTTGTCACCAGCAGAAACCTAGTGTTGGATGCCTAGGTGCAAAATTAAACTAGCATTTTGTTTTTAGTTTTTGCATTTATTCCTTTCAGCAAATGCATAGTTGAATTGGTTTTCTGTGATGACCCAGTGACATAGCCATCTTTATTACTGAAACACCAAACTAGTCTGTACTGAACAGGACAGAGCTCTGGAGGAAGACCCGCTTTCACGGGCAGTGCACCGAACTCTCCAGGGAAGCCCTCCAGGCCAGGACCTGAGCCCACTTCCCCAAACTCTTCTCCACCACTGTGGTCTGCATCCATCTTGCCTGATCAGAAGCATTCTAAGCCATTAAGCAACTGGGTTAACTCTCATCTGACCAAAGACACCCTCACATTGCATTTTTCAGCAAATGATCAGCAGTGTTGCTTGGAATCTTTATCCAAATAAACTCTTTGCTTCTTAACTGGATATGAACAAGATGGTTTAGAGCCTAATTCCCATTCCTTGGGCCATTAGTGAATTGAACATTTGCTTGTATAGAACTGTCATCATTCACGTTTCCTCCTTTGCAGTTTTCATGCTTCTAACATGTATTTTTCCATGAAGGCCTTACTGCCTCTCTTAATGACTTTTAGATGTTCATTAAAAATTGAAGATATTAATGCATTTTATGTACATTGATTGTGTCTTAGAAACCAGTTTATAAACTTGACTTTGAGTTTTGTTAATCTCATTTTTGAAGTTTACTTTAAAATGTTAGAAATTTAAAATTTTGTGCATTTGGTTTGTGCTTAGTTACCCACTTCTTCAGCATAGACCAGAAAAAGTACTACATTTTTACATTTTTTATTAATGTATGCCATATGAAACCCTTCCATCCATCTATAATTAATTTTGCTCTATAATGGGAAATAAGTTCAATATATTTTGTTTCCAAATAGTTTGTCTTCCTTATTGATTTTGATGCTTCCAATATTTTAGATGACTTTTTGATTACATATCCATTTTAAAATTTTTTAAAAATGAAAGGCTGCCCTGTACTGAATTTTTTCTTATTTAAGTATATAGTAACTACAGCAACCAAGCAATCACGATGTCTTGAGGGTGACAAGGGGTGAGGGTTATCCTTCTGGATGTAAGAACAACGGCAGAACTCTCGGGCACAGAATTGTTCCTCCAGGACCACGTCCCGGTTCAGCTACGCAGTCCTCTAAGATAGTGACACTTTGCCAGAAGTTTTTGCTGTGGCCTCTTGATTTAGGAAGGGAATATCTTAGAGAAAATGAGGTGAGGAGACACAGCCATCAGCTCTGATTTCACAGGCAGGGGAAGGACACAGTCTAATCCAGACTACAAAATTGTCTTTTCATAAAATAAGCTGACAAAAGACAGAAATAGGAGTATGAATGTTCGAGGATTTATTTTCACTGAATCCATAATAAAAAGAACCCCTGAATGAAAGGGATTCTTGGATTAAAAAAAAAAAAAGGAATTCAATTATTTCTTCGTGCTCTAATGACAGTACTTTTCTGTAATTTTAAAAATACTTTGGGTGAAAGTTCCTTTTTGCTTTACTATCAAAGTGGGCACAGGTAGCAGGGACTGTCCAGGAGAGAAACAAGTAAGTTTTTGTTTCATTTTAATCACTTGGTATTTTTAGGTTAATCATTTCTGAAGTTATAAAATTCCTCCACTAATATCATTGCATGTTCAGGTTGTATCAGCCCTGGACTACAGTGTGTACTTACTCTGACTTACCATTTAATGTACCCTTAGACATTAAAATACCTGCACAGGCGTTCTCTCGTACCTCATAACTATGGCCTCCAGCTTAGACCAAACTGATGCGTGTACTTCAAAGAAATGGAGGCATCTATTGTAAAACCCTGCACAGAATTAGGGCATATGGATATTAAAATGAAGATTTCATTCAAAGTGTCATTAGAGCTCTCTCAATAGAATTTATCATTACAACAGCATGATACAGAAGCACACACAAGGAGCCCTGCTACACATTATTAGAGAAAGGCCTCACATTCCTAGTGCTGAAAACAAACAACACACAAAATTAGTGCATATGGATATAAAAGAGATTTTATAACAAGTATCTTTGGTGCTTTATCATACAATAGTTACAATAGTGATACTACATGATTGTATCTCACAAGGTAATGCCTACATTATTAAAAGACCCGGATCCTTCAAGTCAGTTCAAAACAACAACAAAAACAAAAATACATTTGTATAAATCGCTCTATGAAAAAGGTAGTAATAGTAACCCAGCTTCTTTCACTGGTAAGTTATTTCCTATCTCATGCCTGTGAAGTTTCAGGAAAAAAGTGGAGGAACAAAGACATTTTAAGCTTTTCAGATTGGCTGTAAGTCATACTGCTCTGTCAGTGTGTCCAGGTAATTTTTTGTGTGTTTTTTTTGCATTACAGTTTTTGTTAGCCTATCATTTTAAAGAAGCTTTGAGCAAAGGGTGTTTATAACTAATGCATAAATCTGTCAGTGTCTTTACAAGTGCTATAGTGTTTCAAAGAGAAAAGCGCTGTTCTTTGCCTGGCTTGGGAAAGCAATGAATATACAGCAGGCTGATTGAGTGCAAGTTTCCAAAAGCTGCTAGGTTAGGTCCCCGGTGCTAAAAATCCAGAATTTACATTTTGGGGAAAAAAAATTTAGAATTAAATATCTTTGAACCAGCAAGACTGTTCATTACAGGAAGTTATTATTTTCATCAGGCTGTTGGGTTCTGAAGTCCCTTGGCAACAATACAAAAATAGCTTTCCCTTGTTACTGAACAGCAATCTGGAAAAACAAATTAGAATGTGTTAAGAACAAAATAAACGGACCTTTTATTTTTTAAACTTGGGGGCCTCTGAATTTCACAGACTTCTGGAATCTGGGGAGCTCCACCCAAGTGCCACTGATTTTATTACCCTGTTATAGGTTTGGCACACAAGAAATAATTTTCCAACTGCTGGAACAATGTCGACTCACATTTTTCCAGAAGGGGAAAAAAAATCCTCTATCTTGCATATGAAATTCTAAGCAGAGAAACAGCCTGTGGATTTCTCTTCCCATTTTATGATGGAATTTGAGAATTGAAAGAAAAATTACGTCTATGAAAATGGTCCATCTCTGTGTAGTTCAGCTCACATCTGGAGAAGGGACTTCGAAATCAGTGCAGAAATGTCAGCACAGGGAGCTAAATCCCCATGTTGTGAAATTCCACTTCTCACAGCCCCGC